AATCGCGGCGGCGGCGGTGGGTGTGGATGGCGCGGGTGTACGTGATCTATTGACTCGACGCTGGCCTCCCCCATCGCGAGTCTAGTGGTTTCCTGCGGCCTCGATGGGAACGAAGACTCGACGTCCAAATAGGAAACGATTTCTTGATTTTTCACCCTCTCTCTTCAATAAATATGGTGCCACATCAGCAAAATACAATAAATTGAAGGATAATAAATGCGTATGGACTCTATGTAGAGTCTGCGCTGTGAATGCCCTTATCACCCAGCGGATGGAGCATCCTTGGGCTACAGGCAAAGCAGCACATGAAATCAACATTCTTCCTCACCACCAATCCATCGAGCTGAAACCCAACTGCAACAAACAAAAATAACGTGTTCAGAACATTGTCTTGGTTGGGACAAGCGTGTGCATATAAATGTAAAAATATGCGGATTGATCTGATAGTGTTTGCCAACAGAAAACAACAGAGCATTGTTCCAAATATGACTAGCAATTCTCGAGCATTGTTCTCTAGGAACGGTGAGATTTTCAGAAGTGAGTCCTCGTCCAGCTGCTGGTGGCGTGTGATAACGATGGTCTGCCATGACCTTGTAATATGGCAAAAGCGTGTGAAATCCCAGAGAGATGTATCCAACCTTAGACAATGGCGCCTCTTTCTACTTTCTTGTACCTCTCATAAGGCTCCACATTTGATTGGAGTTTCCTTCGGAATAAATTCTAAGGTGGGGAAGCTCTCCCCCCTCTCCATTTTCAAAAAAAAAAAAAGTTCTCGAGAATATTGCCTGGGAATTTGCTTAAACTTTGTAATAAAGAATGGCAATATACATCGTGGATCAAAAACACGTGGAATGGGTTCATCCTGATCAACAAATTCCTAAAACAACAGATGACATAGTTCTGAAATGCTAGGAGATCTCTGATGAAACAGCACCCATGTTGTCATAGAAAGGATCATATGAGAAAACTTGAGCTTCACAGCTATTACCAAACTTCCCAGGACAAACAACAGAGCGATCTTTACAGAATGGTAACTTATCAACTAATCTCCAAAAACTTGAATCATGAAAACAAAATCCATCTAAAAAATGCAAATGTGCACCCAATGTCCTTTTTAGATGCCATACAGTTCAGTTCTAATTTATTTTTTATTATTTGGGGGTTGGGGGTATAACTGCACATTTAAATGTGGCAGTTCTTTTTTAATAGAACTGAAGATCTCTCAGCTGACCTATCTGTGTTTAGAACTGCATATTTAGATGTGGCAGCTTGGTTTAGAACCAGCTGGTTATCTGTGTTTCAGTTTCTGAACTATCTTAAGCTTCTATATTTCCGTTACTCTGTTAACGTAAATGGGGTAAGCCTCGATTCGACAAAAAATCTCCCAGATGAAATGAAAGAAAACACACCTGTATAATCAGGACCCAGTGGCTCACAGCAAGTTACAAGGAAGCCGCTCGAAGCCTGTCTTTTGCTACAAAGCTGAAGCTCGGCAAAAAAAAGTTGTTCTTGTGAACCCTCCTTGCTGGACCTTGCAGTAAAGTTAACATATGTATGTAAAAACTGCATGACTCAGGCATACTGTTGACAGGCATGACATCCATGAGCTCGAACTTGATCTGGTGGAATAAATAATGAAAGGTCATAAACAAATCCAAGATAGATAGTATGTTGTTTTCTAGAACAAGTGAATAAATTGTGCACGCACCTTTTTCCTTTTATTGAAGTGCTCCAAAGCACCCCTTGCGTATTTCTTGGTCTGTTCAAGAACAACTTTTGGAGTAGGGCGAAGAACATGACTTTTATTTGTGTGTGTCATTTCCCTGCACCCAACAACACATATATAGAATAGTGTCAGATTGAAACGCCTGATCGGATGCGTATGTAGACATTAAACAGTGTTAACAGAACCAACAATTCTCAAGCATCAGCACGCAAGAAGGCATTATCTATACAATAATATTATTTCAATTTAAAGAGATCACATAGCGGTGAACAGTGATGTTAGGGAATGTGCATAAATGATATCCATGCATGCATGGTGCAATCACTGTGATTCTTTTTAAATATATAAGACAAACTGAAAATAGCATAAACTTTTGGCAATTTGGCACGTTCTTACCGAGACTGAGCAGGTGCAGGTGGTGGTGGAGCCAGGTCTTGGAAAGAGGAGCATCCAGAATCTCCTGACTCGCGGCTGCTGCACAGAGAGGAAGAGAGATCCCCAGGACCCCAAGACTCTGAACTGCCATTTGACGGCAGGAGGGCGGGGACCCTGGACGGAGAGGAAGCCATCCAGGTTGGGCTGCAGGCTGACAAAAACTGGCGGCCAAATCTTCGGCCCGCAGCACCTCCGTGACCCTTCCCCCTCTTCTCAGCCACAACAACAGTTTTGAAGATCCTAATTTCTTTTGGATTCAGATTCAGAAAGGTTTTCAATTACTTTCCGGAACAAGAACAAAACAAACTCGAACTTTTGGACAGATTAAACAACAAAAAATATTGACTCGGAATCCTTAACCCGACTCGGATATGACAATTCAATTCCAAAGATCCCAAAAAAAAAGATAGGCCGTTGTGTCTTAGGATGTTTCAAGGCCGGATCCAGGCCTACCCGTGGCCTAGGTAGCCCATATATACTCCAGTCATTTCTAGCCCACTTCATAGTTTAGCCCAACTAAAACCAACCAGCAAACGCACCTTCTCTCAAGTCTTGCTCCTTTTAGCTGGCGAGTCGCAAGTCGTAACGGTAATGGTGGGTCAAGGCGGATGGGCAGACGCGGCTTCCTACAAATTTCCTCACTCGCTACCGCACCGTCCGCTCGCTCCCGCCCGCGCCACGTCCCCCGCTGAGCCCCAATCCTGCTCTCTCCATTCTCGCCCTCCCCACCTCTCTCTCTCTCTCTCTCTCTCTCTCTCTCTCTCTCTCTCTCTCTCTCTCTCTCTCGTCCGCTGACAGCAGCAGAGTCGTCCGCCGCCACCGCTGCCTCCTTCCTCCACCAAAGCTGACCATACCGCCTCCTCCCTCAGTTTGCGTAGTGCCTCCCCGATCTCTTCCCCAACCCCAGCACCACCAGGATGCCTCGCCGCCGGGGGCCGCCGCCGCTGACCCTGCCAATGGCCGCTGGGCGCATGTGTCGAGCCGCCTCAGGTCATCCTCGGCCAAGCCAAGGCTACCCATGAGCGCAGCCAGTGCTGGTGGTGCTCGCGTGTCGTCGCTCGTAGCCGACTCCCACCCCAATGGCCGGAATCGACCAGCCCAAGCCTCCCTCTGCTGGCGATGCCGTGTTTCAAGTGTTTCAGACGTATGCTTTCAAATGTTTCATCTGGATATTGCATATGTTTCAATGGCTATATACGCTTGTTGCAAGCGCATGTTTCATGTCGCAAGTTTATTTTTTAAGTTTTTCAGGATGTTTCAAGTGTTTCATATGGATGTTGCAGAAGTAGATCTGGATGTTGCATAACATGCATGTTGCAAGTGTATGTTTTCAAGTGTTTTGGGTGTTTCATACGTATGTTGCAGGTGTTTCATCTGGATGTTGCGAAAGTAGATCTGGATATTGGATATGTTTGCAATGGCCTTGTGTTTTTCAGGTGTTTTTGTAAGTGTTTCAAACGTATGTTTCAAGTGTTTTAGCTATTTTGAGCGTATGTTTTAAGTGTTTTATATCGATGTTGCAAAAGTAGATCTAGTGTTGCACATGTTGCAATATGACCCACTTGCCGCAGCTACCTGCTGTAGTTTCTGGGGCACCGCCATGGGTCACCGTGATGCATCTGTGGCACGCATCCACAGGCGGGGCACATGGATTCCCGCATGCGCGCGTGAAACAGAGGAGGCATGGGAGGGCCCAGCAAGAGCGCGGGAAACGTGCGAGCGTGGGGTGGCCCCAGCGTGCGGGCGGGCTGAGTCGCTGAGCGGCACGGAATCTGAGTGGACGGAGCACGCCGCACGAAGCATATGTGCGGGCATCTGTCCAGACGTCCTGGCACTAGCACTGCTGGAATCATAAAGCCTACTATAGCACCAGTCAAGCGCCCACCACAGCCGCCTTGTCACTTGCTAGCCTACGCTCGCGCCGTCGCCCACTGCCCTGCTTGGCCGTACTGTTGCCCGTTACCCGCCAAAAAGAAAAAGAATTTGGCTCTAGTCTTCACCAAATCCTAGGTCCGATGGTGTGCTGTTTCACCGTCAAGAATAATAAATATACACTATTGGTATATTACTACTACCTCCGTCCTAGAAAGAATGCAATTTTAGCGTAGTGTTACGTTTTAGTACCTTAAGTTCGACCAATTATAGATAAAAAATATCAATATTTATGATATACCAAATAAATACCATTAGATTAATCATGAAATGTACTTTTATAATAAATTAATTTAGAGCCATAAATTTATGAATACCATTCACTAGAAACTTGGTCAAACATGAATTATTTTACGTGTCACGTAACCCATAGTTGCATTCTTTATGAGGGCGGAGGTAGTACATATACATCCATATAAAAATACACAAAGAGGATGGGACATGCATGCATACAGATGACATGGAATAGCATGCAACTTAAGAGCCTATTTGGTAGAGCTCCTCCTACTCTAGATTCTTCGCTCTCAGAGAAGTGATTCTATGACGGAAAAAGTTTCTTTGTGATTTTTTAAATAAGCTCTATGCATAGAATGACTATGTGTAAATCAGGAGAAGTTGTTTCTCGGGGTAAATCAGGAGAAGTTGTTTCTCAGCTCTAAGCCCCATAGTTCATCTGAGAGAATCACTAAACATAATCATCACAGAATCACTTTTCCATAGAAAAATGTTTGGCACTGGATTCAGCTGGAAGCTGCTGTGAAAGCTATACCTGACAGTCTCTAACTCTCTAGGTACGAAGCAACAATTTTTGTTCCTTCCACCAGTACTCGTAGTATGGTTCAAGATGGACGTGCGTCCCCACACAGTGATCAGTATCACCCTGTACAAGGGCATACACAACCCCTCTTTAGCATGTATTGGTGTAAATGTGAGCAACGTTGTAGTGCCCAGCAATGTACTTGTCACCCCTGGGATGCAGCATCCTTGGACCGCATGCAAAGCAGCGTGTGAAGTCAATGTTCTTCCTCACCACCGTGGCACCATCAAGCTGAAACCCTTTGTGTCCAACTGTAATAAACAAACGAAAACAAACACCTTCAGAACGTACACTGAAAACCATATGGATTGTGAGCTCAATTGTAAGTTCCAGCAGCAAAAATCAACGAAGCAAAAGTAGGCCAAGAGTTCAGTACCATAACATGACACATTATGAATTTAGCAGTTCAACTCTTCTCAGAATTCTAGCCACTTCATGTCTAAGATCCCCACCCACTCACCCTTTTTTCTGTAAGTTAGCATATTGGATCTAAAAGGCTATATATTACCTAAGACAGGTAAACTGCCAATATCAGAATCAAGGACAGATCAATCAAAAAACTGCACATGTCCTAACTGCTAAGAATTCACATCTATACCCCTATCTTCCATAAAAGATTAAGGATCGCATATTCGCATTTAAGTTTATTTTATATCTAGTTACTAAAGCTGCCTATTTTAAGGCTTTAGAGGAAACACTTTAGTTTACAAAGAAACTGTTGAACAATATAAGCAGCAAAGAAAGAAATATAAAGAAAAAACTCACCAGTACCATCAGAACCCAGTGGTTCACAACAAGTCACAAGGAAGCCACTTGGATCCCTCCTTTTGCTACAGTTGTTAAGCTCAGCAAAGAAAAGCTGTTCCTTCGAACCCTCCTTGCTGGACCTTGCAGTGAAGTTAACGTGTGTATACAAACGGCCTGACTCAGGCATCTGGACCACAGGCATGACATCCAAGAGCTCAAACTTGATCTGGGCACAAGAAATTAAGCAGATAATGATTCATAAATTACCAAATCAATATAGATAATACTCCTATGTTCTTTTTCTTGAAAAAAAGTGAATAAAATGAGCAGCACACCTTTTTCCTTCTGTTGTAATGTGCCAAGGCACCCTTTCCTAATCTCTTCGATTTCTCAAGAACAACATCTGGACGTGCAGTGAGAAGGTACTGATATTTTTTGTGAGGATTGATTTTCCTGCACCAACAACAATGTCAAATTGAAACAAACAAAATAGACAGATAAACATTAAATAAGGGTTAATGAACCAGTATATATAGCAATAAAAAAAACATCAACATGCAAGTACATATTTTTTGTAAGAGAAATATAAAAGTATATAACTTTCGCATCAAAAGTAATGAGATGATAAAAAAACATGCTATAGAATGTATGTATATATGGTATCCATGGCGCAAACGTTGCCTTGCTTACTCGGCACTATTTATGGCATTATTAGTGGCACTGATGCATAAGCTTAAAGAAAAACTGGCACATTGCAAAATTCATTTGGTCAGAAGAGTACAGAGTAGACCACTTTTAACAGTTCATTAGAGCGATCCACAATTCTGCTATAGTGGGTACATCAGTTATCCATTCAGATGTAAATAAATGACAGATCCAAATAAGGCTAGGGTGCTTGCAGAGTGGATTAGGAGTGGCTCAGGTGTTTAATTTATGGCAATTTGACAATTTTGCATCTTTTTGCATCAGTATGATGATCAACTACATCCTACTATGAGTGCATGACGAGATAAATAACACATAGAATTGCAAAACATAACCATTATGATGATGTCAATTCATTGCATAAATGATCAGTAATTCTCTTGCCATGCATGGCCCAAATCATTACTGCTTGCCTTGCCATCGCACACAGGCACTGTAACTAGCTATTGTCCCAGATTAAAACACAATTTCCCATGCTAATGCCAATGTGTTCAATTGGTGATGATAGACATAATAACGGTACATACAAACAGTACCCAATAATAGACAGCTGAGTGCCAGTTTGCAAAGAGAATGAGACGTACTTCTACTAATGACATAATACCTGACGCTTCATAAAATTTGCCCCGATACAAAATAAGAAGTCTTATGTTTAGACAAGAACCCCTTACTTACAACAGACCTCTACTGGATATTAAGTTATGAACACAAACCATTTTGGACATCTTGCAGTCTTAAAATGCAGGTTTGAGTACTAAACTTTATCATAACTTGAGCATAAATAAAACGTGATAAAAAATAAGATGGGTGCATGTCTTACCGAGCAGGCGGTGGCGGCGGTGGAACTGGGAAGTAAGTTTGAGCCAGGTTGATGATGCAGCGGTGCTCAAACGAGGGGCATCCAGGATCTCCTGAGCTGGTGCTCGACCTTAGGAGGTCGCAAACTCGGGGAGGGAGAGCTGTAGATTTTTCTGACCACAGATGGGAACTGCTGGTTGATCGCGACACGGGAGGTAGGCATACAGCTTCAGCACCTTCATGACCCTGAAAAACGGTGTGTGCTTTGCTTGTTAGTGACATCCAAAAGTTTTAAAATTCGATACAATTTCAACTTGTTCTCGGTAGGGATAGAGGTGGGCTCGAAATTTTCAGACAGACTGAAGGAAACTGAGTCAGTTTCAGCCCTATTTACATGTTTGTATGTCCAATTCGCAGAATTCGATCTGCATAAAATTTTCAGCTTGATCAGCCGAACAATCAATAGATCTGGATCAATGGGGAAAAAAGCTCTGTTCGGGGTTAGGGTTTGGGCACCATCAGCATCACCTTCTCTGCCGTCATCGTCGTCGTCGGCGGCGGCGGCGGCGGCGTGAGCTCCTCTGACGGGGAGACGGGCTTGTAGGACACTGATGTCCTCAGCCGGCGGGGATCTCCTTCGCCTCCGGGGCGGCGGCGCTGCGCTTCACACTAAGTCGAAGCTGACGGAACGGGGAGAAGACAAGATCGATCATATTATTGCAATCGTGATTTCTGGTCGAGTCAAGCTCGGATTTTCCGTGAAGTTGGACTCTCGTTTTAGTTTGGTTTCAGTTGGGTTTTCTTCCAGCGCCTGGACGTCCGAACGGACACCGCTCCGTGTCCCGCGCCCGTCCCCTCCACACCTAAGCATATGCAGGTGGGCCCAGCAGTCACTGTAACATGTGCAACAAGATATAGTTGTACAATATATAAATAAAATACTTGAAACATACGTCCGGAACAATTGAAACATATGTCTAAAACACTAGAAAAACATGTTTTTTAGCCATTGCAAAACATATGCAACATCTAGATAAAACACTTGCAACATACGTATGAAACATTTGAAACATACACTTAAAAACACCATTGCAACATGTCCAACATCTTGATCTACTTTTGCAACATTGATATAAAATACTTGTAACATACCTTTGAAACACTTGAAATAGACGTTTACAATATACAGTTTTAGCACATCTCCTTGCTGCTCAGGAGAATGGATCCTCGATGGCATGTGGAGTTCTATCCCGGTCGTCGTGGGCTGTACACAGGCAACTTCCGCCACGACCACGGCAAACTGGGTAGGCGGGCGGGAGATGTGTGTGGGCGGGCTCCACCCGAGCTGTCATGAGCTGCTCGCAAGTGAGCTCCACGCCCGGCCACACCGAGCTGGGCAGGCGGAGGTCTTCCTGGACGCCGACCAGGCATCCGCCGCCCCCGTGGTGGAGGCAGTAGCGGTCTCCCTCACCACGGGCGGGCGGCGCAGCGTGGACGATGGAGCCTATGCGTACACGGCTAGCGGCGCGCTCGATGCTTGTGTGTATTCGGATGGCGATGGAGACCCAGGCGCTAGCAGAGCTCGTGCGTACGCAATCGAAGGCCGGGCGGCGTGGTGGAGCTGATAAGATGTCGCTCTCTTTTCTTTTTTTATTTTTTGGAGAAACCATGTATACCGATGAGGGGAGCTGGCCCGTGAGCCGATCCGCAACCCAGTTAGCCACGTCTGGACTGAGCATTAGCGTTTCTCTAGACATGTTTGGTTGTCACTCTCTACATCCAAAAACAACTTGATGTTATAGAATTTTAAGAAAAAATTAATGCCTCGATTAAAATTACTCATTTACTTTTATTTGTTGAAGCTAATCCATTCTAATTAAAGAAAAAACCAATAATTAAAACAAATACACGAAGACATGCATATCATAATCTCAAGCCGATATGAGCCCTAAGAACTAAAACTTTCAGTTTTTTTAGGATAAATTTTGAATCTTAAAACATGGAATTTTCTAATTAAGATGGAAAGAGTAGGGTCACAGATAAAGATGCCAAGCCAAAATTTAGTCATAGCCAAATAGGGCAGTGCCAAAATTTGGACAAAACAATGCTGCTCGATTAATACCCATGCCGAAGTTTGACTAGTACCGGTAAAAATATTGTTTGGATGAGAGCTACATCAAATCTTGCCACCGACTATACGTATAACGTGTAGGGTTCACATTATCACATATCATTATTTTTTCTTCATCGGAACATAATCCTGTGTGATGTTGTTTTGTAGGTAAATAAAATCATAAGGAATACGGTGCTGAAATCAAATTGAAAATCAGATAGTCGGTTTAGTAGATATCCGCATTTGAAGTTTCGAAATCCAAGAATCTCGATGAACATGTAACCAACCACAACTTTTTTTTAGTGTGTAAGGAAAATGGACCCTAGGCCCATTTACTTTGGATTTTAGTATTTGATAATCAACACAACCAAATTAGACTAATGAATTTACAAGTAATTATTTTATAGTTCAATAGGGTACAAGACGTGACTTGGACGAAGGCGACATGATGATCCCACGATCAACAATATAAGAAAGACCCTAGAAGCACAAGAGAAGATCCAAGTTATCAAGCAAAGTCCAAGCACGAAGATGGGAACCAAACCGGACGCAAGATCGCGAAGAAACGAGCTCGGCAGAGTTGACCGGACGCGGCCCTATGAGGACCGGACACGTCCGATCAGTTGCTCAGCAACAACAGGCATCAGCAACAGCGACCGGACTCTAAGCGAGGCAGTGACCGGACGCACGGACTTTACTGTTCATCGTCGCGGCAACAACTCAGTGAGGACCGGACGCAGCAGCTGTGGACGACCAGATGCGCCAGACAGTGGCGTCCGATCGAGTCCAGAGAGGTTCCAGAACGGCGAAACGTCGACCGGACGTGTCAGATGGTAAGCGACCGGACTCGACAGAGAGTCCGATCAACAGTGAGCGCCAACGGTCGGGACGATCGGACGCGTCCTGTTGATGGCAAAAAGCTGGGTGTCGTCCCCAACGGCTACTTTCTCCATGGGACTTATAAATAATTAAATAGATCCCCCAACCGGCCATTTGAGATGTGGAGAGCTAAGGAAACATACCAAGGGTGTTGATACACCATTTTAGTGATCTCCACTTGCATAGTGCTTAGTGATACATTCGGTGATTAGCGTAGGTGATTTACGAAGTGCTTAAGTTAGTTTGACCACCGCTTATGCGCTTGCTCTAGGTATAGGTCTAGTGTTTAGTGAGGTTTGCACACCTCTTACCACTCAATGCTTGTGCGCAACGTCGTTGTACATCGGAGGGGCTTGTAGTCTTACGAGATCACACCAATCGTGTTTGTGGTGTGGTCGCCACCGTGTACCGAAGGGAACAAGACCTGCGGCGGTTCGACCGGAAGCTTGACAGTGAAGACGGCGGGGAGCGGTTCGGAAGAGGCTTGCCGGAAGGCACACCGGAGACCCACTTGCGCGTGGGGAAGGCCCGGGGCTATCCACAGAGTTACCCCACCAGGAGCTTTGCCCTTGCGAAGGATTCTTTGTGAAGGGCTCCAACGAGGACTAGGGGGGAGCTTGCGTTCTTCTCGATGCCTCGGTAAAAATATCGGAGTTGTCGACGGGAGTTTTTATATCTCTACCTTAATCTTTAGCTTCCGTATTTACATTGCAGTCTTGGTTTGTGCTTTACTTTCCTAGCTTAGTGATAGGCTAGTTGATAGGTTTGGAACCTAGGTTGCATAACTCCTTTTTGCGGTAGAGATAGTAACATACTAGCAAAATCGTAGTTGCACATTTAAATAGTTTTTATCTTTTGCATAGGTTTTTGTTAAGGATAAAAAAAACTATAGTTTAGAAGTAGGATTTTAAATTATCTAATTCACCGCTTACGTCATGGTCGAGCGGATGCAACCAACCACCACTTGCTACCGATCTAAGTGCATGGGCACTCTCAGCAAGCCAAACTGGGTCACGTAGTCAGTGTTCTGGGCCTCCAGAAGCACATACGGGCCGGATGGGAGTGGATCTGACCGCGGGCCGATCGGAGGCCACTTTTGCGCTAACTTGGAATTAAATTTATTTTAGATACTATCAGGAATTAATTTATTGCTAGGAAATACAGCATACGAGGAATTGAAGTTTTTTAGCCTGCTATTTTTAGGTAACAGGAAGGAATTAGAATAGTGGTCGGGAAAATACATAAAGTACATAACTGTGGAAAATATAGTCTCATCTTAATCATCACTGCAGGGAAGAACCACAAAAATGGATCACCTGTAGAAAAATCGGGACAAGCATGCAACTCAACAACCCCAGGAGGCCAGGACAGTTAAGTCAATGACACGAAATAAACTAGCTTCGCTTGCAATTAGCACCTCAATTAGCGTGCTGCGTACAACAATTCTTCCAACCATCATGGCCAAATTCGAATCTCTGGTTGGAAACAGAGTACCATAGAGGCATTGCAATGGTAAGAAAACCTACGAGTAATCATACAGGGAGATGCTCTTGTCCTCCGACGCGCTAGCTAGACGCCCTGCCCGGATTCCGGCCCCACCTGGCGGCCGGAAGGCCACGGCCCAGACCTGATCAGAATGGTTGCTCATGGTCTGCACCGAGGTCCTCATGTTGATGTCCCAGAGCCGGACGGTGCGGTCGCTGGATCCCGTCGCCACCGCCAAGCCATCGGGGCTCACGTCGATGCTCAGCACCCAGCTCGCGTGGCCTGACATGGCACCGATGAGGCTCTTCTCCTTGGCATCGTAGATGTGGATGTGGCAGTCGTCGCAGGCCGTGAAGAGCACGTGGGGGTCCACAGGAGAGAACACCATGGACCGCACCGGCATGTGGTGGCCCTCGAGATGGTGGAGGAACTTCATGCGAACAGCGTCGTAGATGGCAATGCTGCCGTCCATGGACCCACATGCTAACAGCTTCCCATCAGGGCTCCAGGCAACTGAAAGGACAAACTTGCCACTGCCTGTCCTGTCAGGGCGAGCTCCCTCTGGATGTGGGACAGTGAGGCTGGTAATTGGCTGCCACCTCTCTGTGTCCCAGAGCTTCACTGATCCACTGCCACCACCAGCTGCAGCCAGAGCATTACCCTGAAAAGGAAAGAGTATGGATTAGCCCAGCATGTCAATAACCAAACTGAAGAAAGAACAGCCAATTTGACAAATTGGATGTAACAGGATAGAAGGATAATTCAGAAACGATTTGCCATCATCTGTATTACCTGGAATCATAGGTACAACAGAACATGCCAATCAGCTGTCTAAGTTTTAGCCAAGACAGAATATACAAACTAATATTATCAAACAGTGCCAGGTGAGGCATTTCAGGAGAAAAGGACTGAATGAACAGCCACTAACACATGTCAACTGTGTAAACATCAAATTCTACATCATAAACAAGTCTATCAATATGCATTTGTGGCAACCATACAGTACAGGAAAATTAGTTTCATGTTCAAACAAGGTTCAGGATAAGTTGTCACATGATCCAGAGTA